AAGACAAGCTTTGTATTTTTTACAATGATTATTATTTACTCCAATGAGCGTTTCAGTGTAGGAGGGAAGCTGTTGACCTTGAGAGCAACAAGGAAGCCATTGGGGAAAAGGCTCGCCGATTTGGGTGTCATCAGCAGATTTCTGAGTTGTCTCTGTCAACAGGTGGAAAAAGAGCCCCACAACCACAGAGGGAAGACCATCCTATTTTGCCATAAAAACAAACCACCCCATGGCCTTTTAATTTCCACCTGGTAGGGGAAGCCCCTTACTCCAGAATATCCCACTACTCAAATGGAGAGCAGGTACCATATCTAAGCACACATCCTGCCTCTGTTACCGCCATCAGTGCAACCAGAGAGGGATCAGAACAGGTGTGGGCAGACTTCAGGCTGATGGGATCGACCGTGTGGTTTTCTTATGAGAGCCCCAGGATCTATCCATCAAAGCCAGGTACAAAAGTCACAGAATTAAAGAACAGGGTGTCTCCGAGCACATTCCAAACCCAGGAATTTGCTCACAGTCCTTCCACTCCCACTTTACCCAAGCTTTCTTCGCTGCTGCAGCCCCTTTTGTCATTCCTATTGTTGAACAACCGGCAGCCAGAAACTCTTGCCAATTTACACAAATCCCCCAGAGATCTTCTGCCCACCCCGGATCAAAGTGATTTACTTCACAAGCATTTCAACAAAGTTTCCTGGACTAAGATTTTAAGTAGCACAAAAGGTTACCTAATGGAACATCTCTTCCTGCATGTCCTGTTGCAGGAATTTATGTATAGGTGGGGGGTGTGGTTGCCCCTCCAGCAGATATCATGCACATGCAGCCCACCACCAAAATCAGCACCATCACTTTTGTGATTTGTCCCCACAAAACACCCCATCACAGTTTCTTCCTATCTATTCAAAGGGCCTTTGCTGCACGATACCAAATGTACCAATTCACTGATAAATGTCTCTGTGTACTGGCTCACTGGGAAAACTTCAGAAATTCATATAGACATGTGAGCTCAGCTACTCAGCAGCCCCTCTGCCTGAGGGATAATCCCTGGCATCCTGATACCTGAGTGCCAGACAGGTAGCCATTCCAGAAATAACAGACCCAGATGAAGACAAAAGGGTGGGATTAACTTGGCTGGGAAACAGGGAAATGTAAATATCTCTTTTGTTACACTTGATGGGTGTTTGGTTGGAGGGCAAGGAGAACCATGGGGCAGGGTCCAGGATGCTCAGATTCCGGCCACCAGACCTCCCCTTTCATGATGTAACCATGATGTTTTAGTGATGTAGTTTGGAGGGGTGTAACATGGGGATTAGCAGCTAATAAAAGTTTGGGTTCTCTTTTTTTCGGGGCTTCCATCTTGTTCCACCTGGTGGCAGGTGGGAGTCCTGTCGCGACAGTCTTCAATAAAGACCAAGCCTACTGGCTGCTGTTATGCTCTGGTATTCCTGGCTGGTGTCCTCGTTTTTTGTCCAAGGGAGCCCTCAGATTTCTCCGTTAACAGGAGAGAGGGAGCCTTCTTTGTCAAACGCTCTCCCCCAAGAGGCTCACCTGGTTCCTACTGTAATGTCATTTTTCTGCCAAAAGCCTTCTCACTCTCCCAGACCTTCTAACATATTTATGTTATTTCAACATCTTTAATTTTAATCTGGTTTTAATCGGATGGCAAATTATTTTAGCTAGCAGTTAGGATTTCAGTTTTTATATGATTGCACTGGTGTTGATACTTCCTCGCTCCCCTCCCCCTTGTTGCTTGCCTGTGTTATTTTTGAAACATTTGTATTTTGCTGTTTTATTTAATACAGTGGTACCTCCGGTTGCAAACGGGATCCGTTCCAGAGGCCCGTTCGCAACCTGAAAAGAACGCAATCTGCATCTGCGCGTGCGCGGGTCACAATTCACCGCTTCTACGCATGTGCATGACGTCATTTTGCACATCTGTGCATGCGCGAGTGGCGAAACCCAGAAGTAACACTTCCCAGTACTTCCAGGTCGTCATAGGACGCAACCTGAAAACGCGCAACCTGAAGCAAACATAACATGAGGTATGACTGTACTGTACTGCACACCTCCTTGGAGCCCAGCCTCTGGGAATCCAGCTCGTTCTTTCTGGGGGAGACTGCTCTGAAGAGGACGGGGCTTCAGGAAGCCACAGTCCACTCTGTTTGCCCCAAGTTGGATCGGTCTCAATAAGAATTATTCCCTTCCTTCCTGAGCAATCACATCATTCCATCAGACTGCCACCTGGTGGCTCATTCTGATTATAACACTGGCAGCTCTTTCCCAGAGACTCATCCTCTCTAAGGCAGGGAATACTGAGCGTCAAGGATTGCTAACAGATGCTGGGCCAACTCTCTTTCCTTGGTGCAGGATTGTGTTAGCCTGTCTGACAGCGTCCTCAGGATGGCTGGATGGAAGGCACTCTTTATTTTTATTTTTTTTAAAAGTCAGAAACTGATGGCATTTTTTATGCTCCGTGTCTACAGCATTCTTGAACTTCAGGACTGTCTTGTTCACAGTCATCCATTAGTGATATTTTTGCCAATTGGTTATTTGCCATCAGGTGAGTCCTGACCATCTTGGCTATCTCTTAATGCAAACCCAGGTCATCAAGCCTGAGCTTCCACAGCCTCCATGAACCACCTTCTTCTTCTTTGGCCATCCCTCGTAGCTGAGTAAGATTGTCTTCCATAAACACGGTTTTAACAATGAGTCCGTAAGTGACTGTGGAGGTCAAGTTCCGGATCCACACATCCTTCCACAGTGGGGACATTGGTTTCCGGGTGGGAGCTGATCCCAGTGTGGATTTGCCAAGTGTGCCTTCCTCTTAGCACATTTCTCCCTTGCGTCCTGCGTTCGAGTGTCTTCAAAGCCCAGGACACCTTTGGTGAAGGCTGTTCTCCAACTGGAGCACTCACAGGCCAGTGTTTCCCAGTTGTCAGTGTTTATACTACATTTTTAAAGATTTGCCTTGAGAGAGTCTTTAAACCTCTTTTGTTGACCACCAGCATTACGCTTTCCATTTTAAAGTTCAGAATAGAGTAGTTGCTTTGGAAGATGATCATCAGGCATCCACACAACATGACCAGTCCAACGAAGCTGATGTTGAAGAATCATTACTTTGATACTGGTGATCTTTGCTTCTTCCAGTAGCAGCAATGTTCTATGCTTACAATAACATTCTAGTCTCTTGCTAATAATGCTGTTTTAAATGTACATTTTATATTTGACTGCCTTTAGTACTGTACTGTTTTCTTTTGAAATGTTTAAGATATATTTTTTTAAGCTTTGCCTCATTAAATGTACATTCTGCAGTTGACCTCCTTTGTAATGTTTTATTTTCGGAACTTTAAGATAACACGTTAGTTTCCTGTTAATTACGTTGCTTTAAATGTATATTCGAGTTTCTTAAGTAATGTTTTATTCTGGGTTGTTTTATTTGATGCTTTAATGTGTTGTAAACTGCTTTGGGATCTTTATATAAAGCGGTATAGAAATAAAATGAATAACAATAACAATAATAAGTAATGAATCGTTAATCAAGAAACAACATGCCTGACAGTGCATTAACTTCTGGGGAACGCAGTGATGCTGATGGGCAAATGATTACAAAAGGAACTAGTGACAAAGACATTTACAGGAAAGGGAGGGTTTTCCTCTGGTTTTATAGGTATAACATTCCTATGCAGAGCACTACAGTGACAAGGACATCCTGTCCCCAGCAAAGCCCTTTGTGGCATGCTGCCTGTCACTCATAGCGTGACGCTGAACAGCTTTCTACTATCCCAAGCTGGGAATTAATAACCAAAACTGGGACAGACTATCGGAGGTGGTTATTAATACCGAAAAAACTCGGCAAGTCCAGACTGGTCACTTCCTTCTCCCAGGTCTGTCCAGGCACCATCCCAAGAGATTCTTCTCCACGTTAGTTCAAGGGCAATCGCTTCCCCTCCCCAGATACCAACTGAGGGGTTTTTGAGACCCCTTATTAATTCGTCCCCCAGGTCCACTGCTCAGAAGCAGCAAGGAACAGCCATGCCCACCACCCAAGCACCCAGGAAAAGGCTAGGGAAAAGCAGGCAGTATGGAGGTACAGGTGCAGCCACTGAAATTCCTGCTACTGGAACAGTGTGTCTGTGATTTCATACATCAGAATTGGCTAACCTGTGCCCTAGAGATCTTTTGGGCTGCAGTTCCCAACAACCCCTGATGAAAGCTGTTTTCCAAAACGTATGGGGAGGGGGCAACAAGTTGGCCAAGGCAGGTGTAACTGGCTGCAACCACCATTTGTGTTAACTTCCCCTGTGTGTGAAGGTTACATAAAAAGACATGAGAGATGCCATCTTCCATGGCCTCTCCCCATCCCCATAACCTTGCCAAGATGTCAAAGGGCGCAATGGCTGCTCCCCAGAATCTCCCTTGCACGATCGCTTTCTCACCCCACCAAAAACTGGACCCAATGTAGACAAGGGGAGCACCCAGTTGGCCATTGTGTTGGTTCATAGTCTGAAATACGCCACTTCCCTGTGGATCGCTTTCAAGACCCATCCCTTGTGCTGATGGTAAGTGTCACGATGGACCCAGAAGAATGCATTGACCATTTGGGTCTGGAGGGAGGGGAGGGGGGCAGCAGAGGCACCCACCTCCCTCAGAGGGGAGGACAGGCCCTTAAGGCAGCCTGCCTTCAGCACGCTGGACAGCTCCCCCATCCTCAGAGGCGCCAGTCAATGGAATGGATAGATGCAGACCACTGAGGGAGAAGAGGGAGCTGTCCAGCATTTCAGCAGCGCCACTGGCCAGCCCACCCCTCCCACATCAGAGCCACAAATGTGGCTGAAGCCCTTTCCCCAGCTTGCGGACCCCCAGAGAAACTCGGCCACCACCAGAACTTCCCTCATGCCCCCCCAGGAAGCAGCTAAGTCAGACAGGAAGCAGTTGTGTGTGACCCTGGGTGGTCCGAGGGGGTCCCCCCTTTCCTCCCTCTCTCGCGTGGCTTCTCTCACCTGGCCTTGCCGCGGCTGCTTCTCCTGAGTGTGTGGGCATCGGCCTCCTTCTCTTCCCGCACGCGCTGCAGCGACGGGGAGCGGCTGTGGGAGCTCCGGGAGCTGCCCGTGCTCACCAGGCTGCTGTCCCCCAACCCCACCCCGACAGCGGCTTCCTGCATCTGAGCCAGCAGCTGTTGGGGCAGGCCGCGGAGCGAGGGCACTGGGGAGTAGGACGGGCGGCTCTCGGACTTCAAATTGTTGTCGCTGGCAGACCGCTGCAGCAGGCGGGGGGAGGAGAGGCCGCCCGTGCCGATGATCCGCCTCCTCTTCGTGTAGCTGGGAGTTTCTCTAAAAGGCACTGCAGGGGAGAAAGAGAAGAGGAGGGGAGACCCAGGATGAATTAGGGACATCAGCTCTGCCCATCGGCGTTCAACGACACAAAACAGCAATGCGCTTCGATTCGCCTTAGGGCTGCTAAGTTAACTCCAACGCACTTTGACTTCGCCTACTAAGAGGACTGCTGGAGGACTGTTGAGATGTAAATGGCCCCCCAGAAGGGATCACTGCCACTGTTGCACAAATGTTACAAAGCAGGATGGGAAGTGGAGAGCCTAAGGTGAGCTCCTGCTAATTAGAGCAGCAATTGGTAACCGTGGGGCCAATTCACGGAAGGCCCTGCTACAGTTCCTCAAGGAAGAGAAGACAGGCTCCTCCCCAGAGTGGGAGGTTGCTTGGCCAAAGGAGAAGAATAAGGGGGAGCTTGGTTGCAGTGGGTCTGGCCAGCTCATAGAAGTGGGAGCAGCTGGGGACACAACGAAGCAGACCACCTCACTCAGAAACAAAAGCCCCCACTGCAGATCTGGAGAGGCAGATCAGAACCATATCTGGTTCTGCGCTCCTGATCCCTCTTGGGTTGAGATTATCTCTGCAAGCAGTCATGAGATTCCTGCACTGTGTACCCAGATCCCCTTTTCCCCCTGAGATTGCTCAAGTTTTCCCAGGCCGATGGCAACAGGAGAACCGCTCAAGACCTGGCTGTGCTGCGAAGATCTTGCCCACCTGCTACGCCAGGAGCTCAGCCAGCCAGCTTTGCAGTTCTCCCCATCCGGGGGCCCTGCCCACCCTTCTCTGCTTCCACAGTTTCACAGCAAAAAGACCAAGGAGGCGTTCCCACACCCCTCCAGGGCTTCACACAAAAATTGCATTTCCCCTCCACTCCATTTCAAGAAAAAATGACCTGAATATGGGTAGCCCCCAAGAAGGAGCTCCTGGTATTGAAAACATCCGTCGCAAGGAATGTGACAGCTCCCTTTAAAAAGGCTATCAGAGGAACATATTCCTTCTAAAGGTGCATGATTTATTTATTTGTGCAGAGCTGTTTGTTTAAAACTTTTCTGCCGTGTCCTCTGCCATTAGGGGGCACCTGGGGTGCTGTACAGCAAAGATTAAAACAATGACCTAAAACTCCAGGTATGGAGAGGATTTAAATGCAGCCCAAGGGATGCAAACACTGCTTTCGTCTCAGCCACAAATTGTCGGTGCCAGTTTCTCGGAGCTACAGCGGATATCGGCCGGCGCGTGATAAATGTCACTCTCAGTAAGCAGGCTGCAAATAACTGTTTCTGCTTGCCAGCCTTCTCTCGTTTCTAGGGACATAACATGCAACGCCAAAGGCCCGTCCAGTCCAGGATCCTGTTCTCACAGTGGCCAATGGGAAACCCACAAGCAGGATCTGGGCATAAGAGCAACTCTCCCCGTCTGTGGTTTCCAGCAACTGGGATCCAGAAGCATTTACTGCATCCAACTATGAAGGACGAAGCACATTCAATTCAAAGTGTTGGTGCTGACCTTGAAAGCCCTAAACAGCCTCAGCCCAGTAGACCTGAAGGAGCATCTCCACCCCCATCATTCTGCCCGGACACTGAGGTCCAGCTCTGAGGGCCTTCTGGCAGTTACCTCCCTGCGAGAAGTGAGGTTACAGAGAACCAGGCAGAGGGCCTTCTCGGTGGTGGCGCCCGCCCTGTGGAACGCCCTCCCATCAGATGTCAAGGAGATAAACAACTATCTGACTTTTAGAAGACATCTGAAGGCAGCCATGTTTAGGGAAGTTTTGAATGTCTGATGCTGTATTTTTTCCAGCAACTGGGATTCAGAAGCATGGCTGCCTCTTGACTGTGGAGCCAGAGCAGAGCCATCGATAGCACCAGACTGGGGGAGTGTGTGTTAGACACCCATGGGAGCAGCATTCCCATAAAATGCCAGCTTGTGCCAGTATGCAATGCACCAACAGTATGCAATGCACCACCTGGAGCCAGTTGCAGCAAACTCCTGCCCACTTAAAAGGTTGCTCTTCTGCCACACCCTTCTCATTCCCCAGCCACACAGCTGCTGCTGCACAGGAAAGAAACAATCTCTGTCGTTAAGTATCTTCCTGCATCAGGACAGTGCCGGATTTACGTATAAGCTAAACAAGCTACAGCTTAGGACCCCACTATCTTGGGGGCCCCAAATTTTTTTAAAGGAAAAAAAACCTGGATGTACATTTCCAAAATATAAGATAAAAATAAAACCTACATCCAGCAAGAGTGTTTTGTGTTGTGTAGGCTCTATGATGTAAGTCATGGGCGCTGCCTGCTAGCCTGCTCCCTAAAACATCACTGGTTTGCTCCTTTCTATATATAGGGTGCCTACGTTCTGCATGGACTGGGTGCATGGCAACATGGGCAAATGGTTTGAGATACCTATGAGGTCCATAAATGGCCTGACTGACTCCAGCTGCAAAAGATGAGGCTGCAGAACAGACTCTTGCCCCAGGGTATTGTTTGGAGGGTCTTGTGGTGGGGATGGTTGCTGGCTGTGTGCAGTGCCAGATTTATGGATAAGCTAAACAAGCTATAGCTTAGGGCCCCACTCTCTTGGGGAGGACACAAAAAAATTTAAAGAAAAAAAACCTGGATGTTATTTTCCAAAATAGAAGATAAAAAACAAATAAAATAAAACCTACTTACACAGTGTTTTGTGTTGTGTGGGCTCCTACGATGTAAGTCATGGGCCCCGTCTGCTAGCCTGCTCCCTAAAACATCACTGGTTTGCTCCTTTCTATATATAGGGTGCCTACATTCTGCATGGACTGGTTGCAACATGTGCTTTAGATACATAGATAGATAATAGGCTTTAGATACCTATTAGGTCCATAAATTAAAAAGGTACCCCTGCCCGTACGGGCTAGTCTTGACAGACTCTAGGGTTGTGCGCCCATCTCACTCAAGAGGCTGGGGGCCAGCGCTGTCCGCAGACACTTCCGGGTCACGTGGCCAGCGTGACAAAGCTGCTCTGGCGAGCCGGCACCAGCGCAGCACACGGAAACGCCATTTACCTTCCCGCTAGAAAGCGGTACCTATTTATCTACTTGCACCTGGGGGTGCTTTCGAACTGCTAGGTTGGCAGGCGCTGGGACTGAGCACCGGGGCGCACCCCGCCGCGGGGATTCGAACCGCCAACCTTTTGATCAGCAAGCCCTAGGTGCTGAGGCTTTTACCCACAGCGCCACCCGAGTCCCGGTCCATAAATTACCATATAGCATATATTCCACACACAAAACAGTGGCAATTTGTTGTTGATAAAGAACAGCTGGACATTAAGGGCCCCATTACCTTCGGTAGCTTAGGGCCTCATCAAACCTAAATGCGGCCCTGATTCAGGACATCGGCATGTCAAGGCTAAGCAGAAACCCATCTACCTGACATACTTGCTACCCAGGCAAAGGCAGGGGGTGTTAGGTGTGTGTTACTCTGCCTATATGCCAAAGATATTGTCAGGGTCTGGAATGAGGAGGAATGGTGGGAGCAGCCGCCCCCGCCCATCACTTTTCCTGAACCTTCCCAAGGGCAGGAGGACAGTATGAATTTAGAACAGTGGTTTGCAGAGGGGCATAGTCCAGAGGGGGAAAGCTGGGAAATACTGGGTGAGGAGCAGCTAGAAGAGGAAACACCGGGAGAGAGAGAGACTGGTAGATTCAGTGTCCTTGGACAGCAGTCCTGACCCCCCCCCCACTTGCCTAAGACTAGACGGGCTCTGAGAGTCATAGAACAGAGAGCGCAGAGGCAAGAAGCTCAGATTACTCAATGTAGGAGTGACGTAGATTAATGGGTACAGAGGGGGAAAACCTTAACTGGGAGCAACACCATTTCTAGAGAGATGTGCATTCCTTTGTCTATCGCTGTGATTATTAAAGAAACTAACTGGTATGAATGCTCCTTTCGTTTGATCTGCTTATTCTGATTCCCTGAAGCCTGACAGATATGGGGAATGCTTTCAGCCTGTAGAAAGCTTTCTGGGGGCCACATGGCCAGGTGGGGCCAAAGGCAAAAAGTGGGTGGAGTGGAAATGTCAGTCAACAAACTACATTCCAGCCAGGCTGAAGTCAAGAGATTTTTTTTTTGCATACCCAGACTCTGCCCTCTGCTCAGGCAAGCAAGAGGCATGGTCCCATTCCTAGGATCCGTATCCCAGTCTGGCAAAAGCTGCCCTCAAAGGCTGGTTTGGCCTCAAAAGGGTCCCTGATGCATTTGAGGCATCCCTGGGCTCTGCCTTCTTTTACTGTGAAATCTGAAAACCTTTGCACGGAGGACAGTCTTGTGGTATTCAGTGGGGCTCCTATCCAGGCAAAGTGCCTGCAGGATTTCAGCCTAAACAGTTGCTGGGGGCAGACAAGGACACTGACAGCTCTTGACATGGCTTCCTGCCCTCCAGAGGAAGCCCCCCCAAAAAACACCCCCCCCCCACTTCCCAACCCAGCTAGCCAAGGAATCCTCTGTGAGCCGGCCTCTTTCATTCCTTCATCTTCCCGGTCGCTTTCTGCATCTGTGACTCAGAGATCCGTAGATTGCAAGCGCTTGCCCGCCTCTCCGTCGCCATGGCAACCTGATGCATTTATCCTGGCTGCTATCAGTCTAATGGCTCTGGCTTTCAGGGGATTCGTTCCAAGCCCTCCATGCTCCCTTCTTGATGACTGAGCCTCATCTGGATCCCATTTTTTTTTGTATATAAAAAAGCAAAAAGTCGTCCCCCATCCCACTGGATGTGATCGAGGCCGGTCCATTTAATCACTGCATCACCCTCTTTTCTGTAGTGGTAAGTCGGTTGCCTGCGCTGGTGTGCTGGGCCTGGGGGCAACCTGAGTAACGCGGTCCAGGTCCAGTTCTGAATCCAAGTGTTCCGCGAGGAGTCAGTCTGACAGGGCCAAGGCAGGAAACCAGGCGAGGTCAGGCACAGGATCACAGGCAGGTTCTGGCAGGGCAGGGACTAGTCCCCAGGGTCACCCCAGTGAGTATCATGGCTGAATTTAAACCCTGGTCC